CACAGAAGAAGTGAGAGGTAAAAAAGAGACCACTGTTGTTTCGAGCCACTATATTCTGAAGTGATTTCCTATACAATGATAAATAATTAAAACAGACCCCAGCATATAAACTGGATCATGAGGATACCTTACTCCAATGCATTAGAAAATCCAGTGTTTTTAACTTGGTATCAATCTAGCCATGACCTGCCTTTCTTATTGTATATTTAGTACTCCAGCCTCATCAGTTTACATGCAAGTACCCAAACTTTTTGAGAACCTTCTAACACACATTATATACATATACACACACTTTCCCATTACCCTCTTTGAAATCTTTCTATATATTACCCTTCATTCATGATCCATTTTCCTCCAAAAAGTGACCCTAGGATTTTGCATTCTTGAAGGTTATCAGTGACAGCTCAGCTGCCAAACCCAATCATTTTATTTAGAGAGAGAAAGAGATCGGGGTGGGAGGGGTGAAGGCAGAGAGAGAGGGGTAGAGAGAGAGAGAGATAATCTTAAGCAGGCTCCATTCCCAGCAAAAAGCGGTCTCATGGACCCTGAGATCATGACCTGAGCCAAAATCAGGAGTCAGATGCTTAACCAACTGAGCCACCCAGGTGTCCCCAAACCCAATCATTTTAATCATCATCTGTGACTACAGGGCCTTAAGTTAGCAAATGCAAATAGTATTGGCTCCTCCAAGACAAATCAGCTCACTTTCTTTGGAAAACAGTGCCGCCTCATGTCTTTAATGAACAGTTACCAAGCTGGGAGATTCCAGGGTGCTAACAAAGTCTTATCTCAAAGGAAGTAAGCCTCTTACCGGAGGCTGTAACATTCTGAAGTTGCACAGTGTCACTAGCCAAATGTGGCTTTTGAGGGCTTGAAATATGGTTGGTCTGAACTGAGATTTAAGTACAAAATACACACCAGATGAAGGAAATGTAAAATCTCATTAATAATGTTTATATTAATTAAATGTTAAAATAATAATTAGGATGTGCTAGGCTAAATAGATTAAAATTAATTTCAACTGTGATCTTGGACTTCCCAGCCTCCAGCTCAGGCTGCTATAACAACCTACTCCTTTCTACTTTTTTAATGAGGCTACAAGAAAAACTGGAATTGCATGTGCTGCTCACGTGAAATTTCTATGGGATTGCAATTTTGTGCTCTACTGAATTGAAGGCGCCCAAGGAAACACCATCTATATTCCCCTAAAAAGTTTGTGGGAGAAAATACTCTTAAAGACAAAGGTCAAGTATTAGGGAATAAAAAGGATGGTTAAAAGAGAATGAAAAATAACAGACTTAGTATGTATGCTCAAAAACGCCACTAGCAAGAATAATTGTCAATCATACAATCACACAATATCCTTGCCTCCTTTTTCAGGGCACTAAAATCATTATTCAAGATGACATTCATCTAAGGAAAGCCTTTGAAATTTCAGATTTTTTTGACTCTAATATAGGTAGAAATTTTATTCACCGAAAATTACCTAGGTATCTCTCCACACTGCAATCTCTTTAGGACATGGATATTTGAAGCACTAGCTTATTACCTTCTCTAGGGAAGAAAGTGCATTTAAAGTGCTTCTGGGGATGCCTGAGGGGCTCAGTTGGCTAAGCATCGGCCTTTAGCTCAGATCATGATCCCAGGGTCCTGGGATCAAGCCCCTATCAGGCTCCCTGCTCAGCAGGTAGTATGCTTCTCCCTCTCCCTCTGCCTGCCGTTCCCCCTGCCTGTGCTCTGTATCTCTCTCTCTCTCTCTGACAAAATAAAATCTTTAAAAATAAGTAAATAAAGTGCTTCTGAAAGTGCAGAAGACTTGTCCCGGGAAATGGATGAAAGCCTAAGGGATGAAAAATGGGTCTGTAGGAGTGAGAGATGACCTAGCATGCTGCTAGGGAGAGCAGACAATTCAGGGTCCTGTCCAGATACCACTGGGTCCCTTTTCACTGTCCTGTGCGCCAATCTCCTGGCTTATATGTGCTTTGCTTCTGAGAGATGGCACTTGCAAGTTTCTTCAGAGGAACATCCCTTAACCTATTGGAGCTGCTTTGTAGCAGGATGCAAAGAAGCAAAATGCTCCCAAGTTCACAGCCCCCCTCCCAACAGTCCACAGCCTAAGGCTGATGCAGAGATAGGAAAGCCCAACCCCTTGCCCTGAGGCAGAAGGAAGAGGTTCTCAGAAGCCATTATGCTCCAGAGCTTTCCTCCAGGATGAAGGCTGAGGCAGGGACTTGGCTTGAATTATCCCCCTGCTTGCTTTTTCCCTCCCTCTCTCTCTCTCTCCAACTCACTTGTTTCTCCTGGGAGCACTGCCTTAATAAGACACTTGCACAAAAATCCCTCATCTCGAGGCTGCTTCTGGGGAGCTCAGCCCAAGACTCTTGTCATGCATGAATGGGCTCTAGGAAAACATGAAACCAGATTCTTGTTGTTGTACCAGGAATAAGAGCTTCTATATATAATACTTAAGAGTTTAAAACAACTGCACTATCCACATTGTAATAAGAATCATCTTTGATTCTAAAGAGCACTGCAGCAATGGTAGAACACAGGTCTTAGGTCTAAAAAAAGATGCTAACAGCTGTGTGTGTGTGTGTGTGTGTGTGTGTGTGTGTAGTTGTCACTATATATCTAGCTCTATATCTCCAGATGTGAGAGAAGTTAGAACAGCATCTAAGGCTCCAAAGTAAAGGTAAAAAGAAAAAGAAGTCAACACTAAAGTTTAGTGAGCTTCATACCTGATGTTATAAATTCTGTATGTAATCAATATTTAATAAAAACAATTTAAAATCATTCAGAAAGCAAGCAGCCCCAAATTTAGGTAAATCTTCCAAACTGCAATACTGCGGGAAAGAAGGTATTGAAGGTTGTTTTCTTTCTTTCCATAAAATTTGAAGACCACCGTTGGTTTGACTAGATTTATAAATTCCTCTTTACCAAGAGTCACCCTGAAGCTAGAAATACAATGGCGAGAGTAATTAATCCAAAAGTAGTTTATTTGGTCTCTATATAAGTATTTTCTATTTTAGAAGTTGATGCCTACACTGATAAAAAGCCAAGTTGAATGAGACATAAATATATTCACCTTTGTGCCATTACAGGAATTAAAACATATTCTGAATGCCTACTGTGCATGCAATAGGCCTAAAACAAATGTTCTGAACTAATGTACAGTCAAAGGTAGTCATGATGGGAATCATGGAGAAATAAAGCAGGTGTTCAAGATAAAACCAGAGGAGTTCCAGCTCCCAAGTCTAGATGTTTCTAATTTTTAACACGGGAAGAGATTATAAAAGAATAAGATTTCAATTCAATGCAAAAAACAAACAAAAAAAATGTCTCTTAATACAAGATACCCAAAAACCAAATGTTCCCAGAGTTGAACTTTTTAAATTTTTTAATAAAGGACAGAGGGAAAGAAGAGGGGAAATTCTCTCTTTGAAAAGAGGGCAAAACTAAGGTAAGGATAACCACCCCCTGGTGATATGTGGGGCCCTGATTCCAATCAGATCCTATTTTGAGGTGGGAATGGAAAAAGAGCCCACATACTATAGTAGCTGTTTTAGGACCTGAGTCCATCCAGAGCCTTTGTAAAATGAAGCACATGGCATTTATACCACTTCATATAGAGAAACTTCTTCTTGGAACTTAAAATATTTAACAAACAACTTCTGGTTTTCTTTAAACTTTTGCATCACGTGTTTATTTTTGCTAAGCACATAATTCTTCATGTATAATACGCCGATGAAAATGATCTATTTCTTAAGAATAACAACTATTATGCAGAGACAGTGAGCAGTCCAGAAAAATGTAATAAAGGCTAAAAAGCAGATGTCATGTCTGCACTAATTTAAAGTCCCTGGAGAATTATTTAGCAACCCCCCACCCCAACACTGGTTTGCCTGCTAAGTAAGACATGGTTTATGAGTCTTCCATGGGAAGCAGTAAAATAACAGTGCCCTTGACTAAAAATAGGTAGGGACATTCAATAATAAATCTACTTTCCTGATATTCTTGTGTCACCATTAAATACTGATCACTTAGAGAAATGTTTCTTCTTCTCTCCCCACATAGAAAGGCTGGAAGAAAATCAGCCACAGACCCCACTGGAAGATAACAGAGTGTCCCAAAGGACTTGCAATGTGGTGGGGAAAAAATACCATTGTCTTCAAATGCCCAGAACCTGGAGTTCACCTACGAGGATAAACAGTCAAGTTGGTTATCTTTTTCATGTGTTCACTATAAAATGACTTCTCGTCTGTTGAAGAAACTATATATATATATATAGTTTCTTCAACAGACGAGAAGTCATTTTATGTGGAATATATATATATTCCAAGTCTTTCCCTTGGACAGCAATTAGAAAATAGAAATTTAATTAAGAGATCAGAAAAGAACCATCTCTCCTATCCACCAGGATCCCGGCTCTAGAATGTAGCATTGGCAAGTTACAGTTTATAAACAAAAAGAATCGGCCGTATAAAGATATTTCTGGCTCCCATTTCAGATTTATTTAAAGATTTATAAATGGAACTCTAGAGGGGCACTGGGAGAATCTATTTATATCATCTCCATAGGTAGTTTCCCACAAAATGGGCAGTAGATTCTAGCTGACAATGAACATAGTTGTGATTTTTTTCACATATGTGGGAATCTTCTTAAACAATACTTACATAGGACTGAACACAAGTCATGCACTTCTCTGCAGAAAGAACTGCAGAGAACAGTTACTTAAATAATACTTGACTGCTCACCAAACGCAGGCAGTATTACCATAGACAGCAAGTAGAAAATCTTGTAAAGGGTGAAGTGGAATGAATGAACGAGAATCTGGAAAATGCCAGGGCATTAATGCTCCACTGCATGAAGGAAAGAGTCTATGAGTCAGTTTTGAGAGGCATCTCAGATAGTACATCAGTATAAATCAAGGGGGATTCACTGTGTAGAAAGTTCTAGAACCCCACAAGTAGAAACTCTACCACGGTGTGCAGAATACTCACCAGGCAGCTCTGGATGGACTGCAAGTGATGTCCACTCAGTTAAATTCACAGTGCCGTCCTCTGTGAAGCAGACACAGACCAGAGAAAAATCAATGTGAAGGACCTTTAGGATTCTCATGTAAAGAAAGAACTTTTTTGCACTTCAAAATCAGAATCTATAATATTAAAAAAAAAACATACTAGAAAGGCACATTAATATAATAGTGACATTAATTTCCAAATAAACAACAAAGTTACACAGTCATCAAATCAGAAATATTACTGCTATGCCAGCCTACAGGGTTTATACAGCCTTTTTACTAAGCTGCTGATCTATTCAAACTTTTGTCAAGATAATTAAAGAGCAACTGAACAAGGCCACCTAAAATCTTTTAGAATATAATGATCTTTTCCTGATTAACAGAAAAACGTCCTTAGATGAACTGTAATTTTAAGAAAGTTTGCTCTTTCAACAAAGAGCAGTGCTGAACACGAAAGATTTCCATCTATCTACAAAAAAAACTATTTTTGCTGCGTGTTTTTTGTTGTCTTTGTTAACAAGTTGTTTATGTAGATTCTAGATGTGACACTGAAATTTTGGTTTGGTGAAAATTTAGAGTTTGAGATCCTTCCAAGATGGGGTTGGTGGCGCAGGGTGGGGGGGGGGCGTTCCAGGTAGTATCAGAAGCACACAAAAGTTAAGAGGAAGACCATTTGCATTTGGGAAGAAGGGCAGAGGCAGAAAATTTGACAACTGAGACATGGGAAAATGATGTCTGTAAAATTTAAATTGGGATATCATGAACATCATCATTGATATGTAGAGTTCTACAGTAGGGTCCTAGGTAGGCTGGTACATCCACAATGCAAGACTAGGCCATTAAAAAGAAAGAAGTGCATAGCCAAACTATGGAAAGAGCCTAGATGTCCATCAACAGATGAATGGATAAAGAAGATGTGGTGTATATATATATATATAATGGAATATTATGCTGCCATCAAAAAATGAAATCTTGCCATTTGCAACGATGTGGATGGAACTAGAGGATATTATGCTAAGCGAAATAAGTCAATCAGAGAAAGACAATTATCAAATGATCTCACTGATATTTGGAATTTGAGAAACAAGACAAAGGATCATAGGGGAAGGGAGGGAAAAATGAAACAAGATGAAACCAGAGAGGGAGACAAACCATTAGAGACTCAATCTCAGGAAACAAACTGAGGGTTGCTGGAGTGGAGAGGAGTGGGAGAGGGATGGGGTAGCTGGTGATGGACACTGGGAAGGTATGTGCTATGGTGAGTGCTGTGAATTGTGTAAGACTGATGAATCACAGACCTGTACCCCTGAAACAAATAATATATATGTTAA